GTTAAAGGTCTAGTCACAGGCTTTAGAGCCATACTTGCCATCCCTAGGCATGCAACACTGGTAGCCCCGGGTACAAATGGCCACCTCAATGACGGGCAACTTCCTTCCCTCCTTGACTAACCCAAGACATGGGACCCCTGGATGGCGGGTTTTTATCACCCGAAGACGGGTAAAGTCAGTGAGGTGGCAAGGTCGAACTAACCTAAGACAGAGACGGTCATGAACAAAGACCCCCTAAGAATGCTACCTGTGGCCTAGTCCTCACCTCCCTCCTTTGTAAAGGAAAAAAATAAGGGGGAGATGTAAGGGGCCGTGGGCCCAAAACTACGAGGCTTAAAAGCCCACCTTTGTAAGACTTTTAATGACCTTTAAGTTTGCAGCTTAAAGCCAGCTCTGTGAGCCTCCTGTAACCTGTAATTAGATACGGTTTGGCCAAGCGGAACTGCTAACTGCTTCTGTTCCGAGAAAGGGTCTGGAGCTTTTCTGTTTGCTGTTCCAAGGAAGACCACTAGATGTTCCGGCTGACAAGAAGAATGTTCCAGTCCCAGCAAATACCTGCTGTTCCTTCTATTATTCCCCCCAATTCTATTGTTGCAGGGCTATTTAAGCCCACTCTAAGCCCCAATAAATCGAGACCTTGATACGACTCAGACTGTCTTTATGTGCTTGGTCTCCTTTCTCTTGAAAGACCCTCGCAGAGGTACTTTCGTAGAAGGAGACCCACACCCAGGAATCAGCGAAACCACGAACTTTGGATGCAAGAGCAAGAGGGTTTATTAATAACACGGATATCCGGGGCTTAGCTTCTGTTTTGCCAAGCCCCGAGCCCCGGAAGGGGGGTCCTTTTTATAAGGGAAAACAGGCACAGTACAGAAGCGAAAAGCATCAAATCAGCATTTTCTCAAGGTTTAATAGTCAGGCGAAACGGCCTTATCTTCTGCTGGTCCAGATGGCTGGCCTTGGGACGGAGCGATCCGGAGAGATCCGGTGGGGGTTGGCCTTGCGCGGGGCGGGGAGTGAGGGCCAGCAGCTGCAGGGATCAAAAGGTCGGGGAGAGTGCTGGGGAGGGGAGGATGTATTCGCGCGCGCCCCGCCAGCTGCCGACCAGAGTAGAAAAGCTACGGCCCGGGGGGGGGGGTGCTTTCACTCTCTTGCCCCCATTGACCCCTAGGTGATACCCCCTCGAGACCCACAAATAACCTGGCCTGCTGGACGGGTCACACACCCCCCACCACCGTGTGTGTGTGTGTGTGTGTGTGTGTGTGTGTGTGTGTGTGTACATGTGTGTGTACACATGAATGCTGCTCCACACATGTGAAGGTTGTTAGGTTTCAAACCTCATTTAACATATCCAAAGAAGACATTTAGTTGTCAGTTCTCACCTTCCACCATGGGGGGATCCCAGGTATTGAACTCAGGATGTCAGACTTGGCAGTAGGTACCCTTTCATGCTGAGCCATCTTGCTGGCCCCCATCATTCCATTTTTATGGGAGGGTTCCTAAATGTAGGCCCAGCTACAACTCTTCCTTTTCCTCCCCATTCCTCACTCTTGAGGGACTTGGCCACTGTCACTAGTTTGGCTGTCTAGTGCTTGACTTGGTACTGAAGTGAGAAAGACATATTTGCTAAATCCTGACCTGACCTTGGGCTAAAATTGAAGTCAGTCTGACTCTCACACATTTATGGACCTTAAAGGAACTTTTGCTCACCTGCATTGTTCTGCTCCCTGATCAAACAATACCATTCTTGAAGGGGTTAAATTCTCCCACTTTTACAAATGAATTTAGGTTTCAGTTCATCTGAGAAGGACACACAGGTGCTTCTCCCATCAAAGAGCCTATTATTATCCACTGTACCCTTATATTCAGGGTCAGGGGAGGAAAAAAAAAGAGAGAGAGAGAGAAAGAGCCTAAGTCAGCCTCACAGTATTTCAAGGACAAACCCAGCAGCCCCCTTCTGAGTCATGTGCCTGCTTATACAGATATGTCAAAAATGATAAGACTAAACCTCAGTGCCAGGCGGTGGTGGCACACACCTTTAATCCCAGCACTCAGCAGGCAGAGGCAAGCAGATCTCTGTGAGTTCGGGGCCCACCTGGTCTACAGAGCGAGTTCCAGAACAGGCTCCAAAGTTACAGAGAAGCTCTGTCTCGAAAAACAAAACAGCAATAACAAAACAAAAGAAAAAGCAGCTTTTAGCTGTTCTATGTTCTTGTTCTGATCACTCAGGAAAGGGAGAATGGCCTTGTATATATGAAAGCAGTGTTAACTCCATGTTGACAGCCTGTATAGCAATGCTAATTGTGCAAAGCTTCTGGGTTTCTCAGTTGGTGGAGACTTCATTCAGAGGAAAAGAAGCCTTTTCATGTCCTCATGCTGTTCTTTGTCTGTCTGGCCTCAGTGCAGAAACATCAGTTTTTTTTTATCTTAGAGAAACTCTGTAAGTAACTTTTTTTTTGGTTGTAGCCAGTTTAATTATATAAAAATCTTTTCTTGTATGCTATAGCAGCCATAAATAATCTCTTATAACGGTGTAAAACTCGTATAAATAGTGTGGAACCACAATCCTTATTTTATCATAAAGTGTTTGATCCCAGAAACGAGGAATCACATACATATATAGTTGGTACATTTTGTGTATGAAATGTATGTTCGTGTGTGCTGTGTGTGTGTTATAATAAGACATACTAGGTTCATTACTGTTTATGATTAAACCTGTTTTTCAAAGGTTGGGCTATGCCCCACCTGTAACCTTAACTACTAATGGTTCTGTACAGCCTGTTCCAAGAACAGCAATCATATCTTTGTTTCAAAAAGTTGTTTAGAGCCGTCTTGCAACCCTATCTTTGTTTCAAACGGTTATGTTGTTGTGCCCAAGTCACAAGGATTCCCAAAGAGACCTGAAAGACAGACCACTGATGCAAATGCACAAGGTTTATTAATTGTTCTATCCTACCACAGGAGGGACCCTGTCTAGCAAGCCCAAGCAGCAGCCTCCAGAGGGGGTGAAGTTCCCTTCCCTATCTACTGCTAAGTTTCAAAGATAAAAGTTACAAGATTGCATCAGTAGGTACGGGTTGCTTTCTGATTGGTTGACATTCGGGGACAATTAGGAGAATTTCTCAAAGTCATATTTTGGCATGAAATACCTGCGTACCAGGTATTCTCGTTGGTCAGTGCTGAGAGGGAACATTTTGTGGTTTCTATGGCTTTGTCTTGGTACTTGCAGGTGGCCTGTTGTACACAGATACCAATAGTTTTCAGAACTGTATCTTGGAGACTACAGGGGAGGTTTGTGTTGCTTGCTTGTTTTCTTGGTCTATGGTTGACTTTATTCAATTCTGTTTACAATATTCAAGCAGAAAACTCTTGGATTAAAGGTGTGTGCTAGGGCTGAGCCACACCACAACTAGAAACAAGTTTTTCTAGTAAATAATGCCATTTTAGGATTCAGTGTGGAAAAAATATCTTGCAACACTTACTCCTGCAACCCCACCTATTTTGCTTACCAAGTTCTCGATGTAAACTCGCCCATACCCTTGAGCTATAAAAGCCTTATCTTCTCACATCCAAGGCTGACCTCTTTTTTTGTTGTTTGTTTTGTGTTTTCTTTAGGAGACAGGGTTTCTCTGTGTAGCCCTGGCTGTCCTGGAACTCAATCTGTAGACCAGGCTAGCCTCCAACTCACTGCATCTGCCTCCCAAGTGCTGGGATTAGGGGCATGCGCTGCCACACTTAAACCTCTTAAGCCGAACCTCAGGTTTAATTAATTTGGCACGATGATTTTGATTGGTGACCTTTCTCCTCCCATCTTTGGGATTAACAGGGTGTATTAGGTTTTGGGTATTGTTTATTTAATAGGAAAGTGAGGCAGATTACTAGGGAACAAGTTTATTAGAAGAGTTAATGTGCAGAATGAGGAGAGTTCAGGCCCCAGGACTAGAGACAGATAGCATTGTGTGTGTGTGTGTGTGTGGGGGGGTCTCTGAAGAGAGCTAAAGCCTCTTTGTCAGGGAGAGCCTCTTTTTTTTTTTTTTTCCCTGTAAAGATTTATTATGTATACAGTGTTCTGCCTGCATGTTGCCTGCATGCCAGAAGAGGGCGCCAGATCACATTATAGATGGTTGTGAGCCACTGCGTGGTTGCTGGGAATTGAACTCAGCCCCTCTGGAAGAGCAGCCTGTGCTCTTAACCTCTGAGCCATCTCTCCAGCCCTCTTATGGCTAGCTCTCTGGGGATGAGAGACTTCATAGCAGGAGCTGGAACCAGACAGGAGGCAGGCAAGGGAGTAACACAGTACCTCTTGGATGTAAACTTACTTACCAGGTAAGATATCAGGGCCCTGGGAAGTCAGTTAGCTAGGGACTCACAAAGTCTCTGTAGAATACAGTGTCTGTGAAGGGCAGGATGGAGGGTTGGGGGGAGGGCTGTTGTGAAGCTGTTGGGATCAGGCGAACCCAAGGTTTTCCCTGAGGCTATGATGTTTGGAGAAGGAATAGTTTTCCTTATCTAAAACAGGAATACTAATGACCTGGGGTCAGGACTTTGGGAAAGATTTGATTCTGGTTATGTTATTAGTATGATGTGTCTGGGTCTGTAATGTACCTGAGAAACCCTGTGTCCTTTTTGTGAATAATTGATTGATTAGCTTCCTGTTGATCTTGTCCCATTGTGTGATGGTTTTCTGCTGACTGTACAGTTTTTTCCTCAAAAACAATATATACAGTGCTGTACTTAATAAACATCCTGGCACAAGCCTTCCTCTCAAGCAGAACTGATCCCAACATTTCTGTGTTCTTTCTGATCTCCTGGATCTGGAATAGGATCCTCAAGATGACCCAGTTCGATCTCCCATGAATAACTACCCAACTCTATTCTAGGAACCCAAGGTCAAGCTGTCCCAGCTAACTTAAACTATCTTTCTTGTTTGTTTGTTTTTGGAGACAGGGTTTCTCTGTAGCTTTAGAGCTTATCCTGGAACTTACTCTGTAGACCAGGCTGGCTTGGAACTCACAGAGATCTGCCTGCCTCTGCCTCCCGAGTGCTGGGATTAAAGGCATGCGCCACCCAATGCCCGGCTCTTAACCTATCTTTTGTTAAACTACTTGCATGTGCAAACTCCTCCTCCAGATAACTGCTTATTTTAGCTTCAGTCAAATTGCTTGTTTACACACACACACACCTACCTGCCTGCCTGATAACTTGCCAGAGTGTAATTTCTGTCTTCAAAAACCTCGTGCTCTGCTGGACAGTGGTGGTGCACACCTTTGATACCTGTACTGGGGAGCCAGGCAGATCTCTGAGTTTAATTCCAGCCTGGTCTATAGAGCAAGCTCCAGGACAGCCCAGCTCAGAGCGTATCTTTTTTGTTTGTTTTTTGAGATAGGGTTTCTCTGTATAACAGACATGGCTGGCCTCGAACTCACAGAGACCCACCTGCCTCTGCCTCCCCAGTTCGAGTGCTGGGACTAAAGCTGTGAGCCAACACCACCTGGCATCAGAGCAAATCTTATTATTACCCTTTGACAAAGTGAAGCTATTGATAGTTGGGGTTGATTCCATGTTTATTTAGAGCTGGATTAAGAGATCACAGAATCATTAACCTCCCAATTTCTTTTTCCTTGTTTTTTTTTTTGGTTTTTTGAGACAGGGTTTCTCTGTGGCTTTGGAGGCTGTCCTGGAACTAGCTCTTGTAGATCAGGCTGGTCTCGAACTCAGAGAGATCCGCCTGCCTCTGCCTCCTGACTGCTGGGATTAAAGGCGTGTGGCACCACCGCCTGGCTTGGCTTGGTTCTTTGAGACAGGGTGTCTCTATGTAACAGAGTTCTGGCTGTCCTGGAACTCACTTTATAGATCAGGCTGGCCTTGAACTCACAGAGATCCCCCAGCCTCTGTCTCCTGAGAGCTGGATTACACCTGGCTCCAATAGCTTTCTTGAATTTGAATAGGAATTTTAATTTCCTAAAAGTCTTGTAACCAACCTGGAAGGAAGCCATTCTGAGGAGAGACACTTAAACCATCTCCCTTTGTCTATCAGGCAGTTAAAACAAACGATCCTAAGGAACTGGAATTTCTGGGTAGGGGGGTGAAGCCTGTTATTAGCCAGGGGAGAACATTTCCTGCAAAGAGATTTCACACATTTCTGAACCTTGTTGAATCACCCACCTTGCAGGACAGACTGGAGGAGAGACCATGTTGGGACAGACTTCCCCTTGCCAAGGGCCATTCTAGTACCTGTTGCCCTGTTTAGACCTAAACCTCAGGTCAGTACCTCAAAGATGAATTTGGAGGGGGCCTCTGAACTTTTTCTTCCTGATGTGGCCCCATCCAATAAATCGTTCTCTCTCTCTCTCTCTCTCTCTCTCTCTCTCTCTCTCTCTCTCTCTATCTGTCTTGTTGTCTCTTTTATTCAATTATTAAGGACGGATGGGAAGAGCCTAGCAGGTTGTTAGGGCCCAGATTTCGACTCTAGACAGTACCTTAATGTTCATTCTCAGTTTCTAAAGTCCAAAACATTCTGCACGCCTATGCCAAAGGGCTCTGACACAAGACTGTAGACCTCAGCCGGGCGCTGGTGGCTCATGCCTTTAATACCAGCAGTCGGGAGGCAGAGGCAGAGGCAGAGGCAGAGGCAGAGGCAGAGGCAGAGGCAGAGGCAGAGGCAGAGGCAGAGGCAGAGGCAGAGGCAGAGGCAGAGGCAGAGGCAGAGGCAGAGGCAGAGGCAGAGGCAGAGGCAGAGGCAGAGGCAGAGGCAGAGGCAGAGGCAGAGGCAGAGGCAGAGGCAGGCAGATCTCTGTGAGTTCGAGACCAGCCTGGTCTACAAGAGCGAGTGCCAGGACAGCCTCCAAAGCCATAGAGAAACCCTGTCTCGAAAAACAAAAACAAAAAACAAAACAAAAAAACAAAAAAAAAGACTGAGGACCTCAGCTGTCAATTTCAGAGATTATGAGGCATGAACTAGTTGAAGCAATGATGGGTCAAGGAAGTTTTCTGGATTGCCCTTGGCATTCACTCTGCACACTGCTCTGCGAAATGCAACCTACCCGGGAAACAGTAACCGTCCAACCGCAGCACCGCCCGCAGCGACAGGTGTTTCCGGGGTAGGATTTTTTTGCGGCTTCACGCAGGGTGAGTCCTGTCTCTCGGGCTCGGGCCCAGGAGACCGCGCTCGCCACTTCCGTCCTCGGCGGGTGGACTTCCCACGTA